CTCGGTCTTCCCCCCTCTCCTTTCCCACTTCCTGTCTCCGATCCGACTTTTCTTTCCCTTCCCGTCTTTCATATAGTCAGTCCCAGCATTTCCAGAATTTGATTGCGATAAGAAATTGCTCGCCCATACGGGTCATGCTGCTTCTTCCTTTCCCCGCCCGAACGGACTGTATTGTACTGAACTCGCCTCGATCCAATGGGACATTTCCTCTTTAAAATATTTTGCCGATGCATCGCGATGGTCGAAAAACTATCGATATCTCCAACTATCGATGGTGGTATCGATGCATCGATCTATCGTGACAGCCCTAATTATTATGCCTATTATTCAATATTATAGACACATAATATGATGCAGTTTACCGAATCACCTAACCATGAAGGAGAAATCGTGTGAAAGTGACAGTGGTCGCATATTGATTGCCATGCTCTGAAAGCTTACACAAAAAATAGGGCATGTTAATTGACTTATTAATTTAGAAGTTAATTAGTATCTTTCTTCGACGCTACTTCTTTAGCGCTCTCTCTTGGGTCGAACTACGCAGTCTCATGGATCGTAACAACGCCCTTTATATCTGATTACTAATTGAACTTCTCTTACTGCTAATTAAAAATTATTCCTGTGGGAAAATTTCCGAAGTGGACCGCCCGTTGAAAGTTACATGTGTAAAATCAATCGCAAGCTCTTGATGAATAAATTGCGCTGGTGCATATTTTATTTGAGAATTATACGACAAGAAGTAGTAACTTTAATGTTAAGAAGCGTGGGTTGTAGGCTAGGCTAGCTTAGAGTGGCGTGCGCGCGCACGTACAAGGGGTAGCCATGTTGAACGGAGCACAGCTAGCAGGGCAATGGCCTAGGCGGGGGGCTTCACATGGCTGCTCCAAAATTCTCACGTTGAACGTAACCTTTATATCAACATATTAATATCACACAATCAAACTTCAACTCTCAGTTGAAACATATATCACTGTAACATTTTCATGTAGTATTTCCATGTGATATATCTCTCGCACCATTCTGCAGGTAGTCCTTTGAGAGATAGTCTTCCCAACCGGGAATTGTCACCGGCGTCCCGCGTGATCCGCTTCGAGGGTGTGATCTACCTATATATCAACAATAATAGCCGACGTCTTCTGGCCGTCTGTCCGCCGAAGGCTTGCACGGGTCGACTTTTTCGAACTCGACTCGATTGGTCTGGCTCGAATCGTGGTCTTACTCGTGGTCTTACCCGACCCGAAACTCGATTGCGGGACCGAGCATTACCGACTCCACCCGGGGTATCGTGTCGGCCCGCAGCCCGCTTAGGCCTCTAAGCTTCAGAACTTGGGATCTCTGGGTCCGTCCCTATTCTAAGTGACTCAGCTGACGCTTCCAGCTATCCCATGACGTCACATTCGTGCTGGCCTGTTCTGTGCTCTCACAGGTCACAACGTTCCGCTAGCATCTGTAAGCGGCTAGCGAAAAAAAGAAATCTCTGATCCTTTGATAGCTTAGTCACCTACACCCAACAAGAAACTTGGTTACCAATCGAACTGCCCGCCCGATCCGCGGGTCGAGTCTGTTCAATAGAACTGATCTGCATCCCGTGCATGGCTCAAAATCATTATTTATCCTATGTCCGGGAGTTCGAAATTTCAACAACGTGTCTCACTTGAATGCAACGAGGCGGAACTCGCTGAGAATGTGGATGCATCCAGTTGAGGGTTCCCTGATGACGTAACGCATACCCTATTATTGATCCAATTTAAGCGTGGCACTTCAAAATTCGAAAATAATCCCTTTACTGATTGTATTTTCTATTACGATTTATTAAAAATTAACCGGAGTTCTTTAACTCTGTTGACATTTTGCTATCCGCGAAGCGGATTCCACGAGACGCGGGTGTAGTCTAATTGGACCATAACCAAGGGTCTCGACTTTATTGTACTAACATTATCGTTTGGCCTTCGATCACACCCATCAGCTGATTCCATATTATATTTGGTGACTCTTCAAGAAAAGGCCGAAATTGTTGACCTTTTCTCGTTTTGCATTGAACTAAAAAAATACCACAATTATCGACGCCTTGCTTGAAGAAAAGGATACGATTAAGAATTCTATTTTTCGGCAAGATTGGCAAGTACTCGTGAATATTCGGCAAGTACTCGTACGTTTCAGACAGTGAATACACAGTAAGTAAAGGACAGGGTCTTCAAACGATACCTATAGTTTTATGTACCATTATAATTTATTAATCTGTTGTTTCCTCAATATAACGAGAAAATGTACACCATTGGAATTGATAACTGGTCAGTGCACTGATAATTTAAATATAACATTTAACAAGAATGACAAAAGTAAAAAAAAAAAACTAATTAGATTGGATTTCGAGAAAGAAACTTGTCCATCGAGTGGCTGTGGCTCGAGCAACAACTTCTTCGGAATCCTTGCGTTTTTCCTGAGCGTGCAGGATTCCAAAAAAAATTTTCTGGAAGGCTTCTTACTATATTCCCAAAGTCATCTTAACTGCTGTTAGTCAAGAATGCCCTCTGCAAGAATTTACGCCATTTCTCTCAGAGATGAGCTCCGTCGCCTGGGAGAGGTATCATGACTGCAATCTTCAATTTATCCATTTCCAAAAGAATTCGTCATTGGAGTTTGCAAGTCCACGAATAAAAAAGACCTAGTTTTTTCACATTCTCCAGCGTTTGAATTCATTTTATACATTTTCAGTTAATTCATCAGTGCTGCATTTACCCGTCCATTTACCCGTTATAAGAACGCAAGGTGTCTCAAAATTATTGAAAGGGTTTCAAATATTTCTTACTCGCGAATCGTTTGAATCCTGAGAAGTTACCGAGAGGACAACAC